TGTGTATCCAACTTTTTTGTTAACAAGTACGATTTTTATGTCTACAGTTTGTGTGATTCCCTTGCAACCATTCGAATGGTTGAGTTTTGAATTGACGATTCAAATTGTTCGAGATTTTTGACAAGTTCCCACAGCATATTCATATTTAGTAACTTAAAAATGGAGAGACATGCATTATTTATTACACTTTATCGGTCATCAAAGTGACTGGCAAGCCGCTGGTATTTTAGCATACATTCATGAACTTCGTTTTATAATACGCATTATATGAAAAGAAAAGAGAATTTCATTCTTCGATACGCTATTTTAGGTTCATTGTACCGAGCGAAATGTGATGCAATTATTAAGGTCAGGTCACCACAGTTACGCAAAACCGGGCCCAGGTTACCAAAATTATGTTGTGCTGCTCACTAACAAAATTAATATAATTTTAAATAATTTAACAATAAATAATTAACATCAATCAATTTTGTTATTATAATTAAATTATAATTAATTGATCATATAATTAGTCATTTCTTTAATTTAACTATTATACTTCATTATTTATTTGGTTAATAATAAGAAAAAATTGAAAATAATAAATAATAATAATAATAATAATAATAATAATAATAATAATAATAATAATAATAATAATAATTAAACTAACGTGCTTCTCTTGTCAGTGCAACAACAAAGCTAAGATGAAGAAAATATCCAGGTCATGCCACGGTTTGGGGAATGGCGATGTACAGCTGTGCACATTCGAGTATTACAAGCAATAGGTTCTAATTTAATATAGAAAGAAATGAGTAATGAAAAGAATATTTATTTAGAGAAATATCCTACCAAATGCTTCCTCAGTCAAAATTATATTTTGTGTGACGCTTAACATGTAAACAAAGGCAATGTTAACCTGTAAATAATTCCATGATTTTAACCTGTAAACAAGGCCATGATTTTAACCTGTAAACAACGGCTCTGTTAACCTGTAAACAAGGGCACTGTTAACCTGTAAACAAGGGCACTGTTAACCTGTAAACAACGACACTGTTAACCTGTAAACAAGGGCACTGTTAACCTGTAAAC